ATTAGGTTTTAAACCTACAAGCTCAATGGCGAGATAATTTCAAGAAAACTCTTGTCAGGTCAGTCAGTACAGATTCATGTGGATACGATGGTTGAACTATTTGACCGCATGAGTATGTTAGGGAGACCATATGAAGATCATCAGGTTCATGATATAATTCTGCATTCTCTACATGATGGTTTTGACCTCGAGAAACTTTGTCAAGATGATGAAGATTCTGGAGTTAAACTAGTTGATTTACTCAAGAATCATGCAGAGGATTATCTGAAAGGAGAATAAGCCAGTGCTTGAACAAGGATGTCCTCACTAGGATGAAGTGACAGGTAAGAGTTACCTAACACTCTTGTTAATAAACATTTTAACTTTCACTTAGGTATGAGATACCAAGTTGCAGTGCTTAACATAGTGATGTTGCGCAAGAACTGCAAACAAGAGAAGCTAGCATGGAAATGGAGCTTGAAGGTGCACTAGAAGTATTTGAGTGGCCAAAGATAGCTTCATAGTTTTAAATTTTGGTTAATTATCATGTTTTTAGAACAATTTCCAGTTTTGATGAGACAATATTTCGGTTTTCTTGTTTTGAATACTGAATTTGGTTTACTTGGCTTGGACAAGTGTTGATCCATGGCCAAGGTAATAAATTGTTTTCATTTTGCTAGATTTGAGTCAATTTTGTTTTATGACATTGATATAAGTAGATCACAAAATTAAAGTTTAGATGATTCAAAAAAAAAAAAAAAAACACTTACTTATAACAAGTAAGGTTAGGTCACATTAACCATTTGCACATCCAAAGTTATAGATGGGCTCTTATTCTTATATGATTATGAATCACTTGAGAATTAGAAGTCATGTTTGATAAGTTAGAATGACCAAGTTGCCTTTTAGTAGAAAGGGTAAAAGAAGCTAAAATGACCTTTTGGTAATCATACATATGATGTATGTGAACCAATAAGTTCAAATTAGCAAAGAGATTTAACTATTTCATTGCTTTTACTAACGATTTAAGTAAATATATCTATAATTACTTAATGAAGTAAAGCTTGGAAACATTGAAATGTTCAAAATTCCAAAATGACATATAAAATCAGTTTGAGATAAACAATTTAACACCACAATATGATTTTTGTGATAAATATTTAACTCAAAAAGGGAATGATCATCTAAAGGGAATTGTTGAATTAATTCACAATCCATAAACATTACAATTAAAGTGTATGTTTATGAAGATGGAAACAAACTTTGCTTGCCATTGTTCGATCCAAGATTTAATGATTTACAAATATCGTTTTGAGGATATGCATTAGAACAACAACAATTGCGAATATACTAAACAAAAAACTTAACCAAAGCAGTAGAAAAGATGTCATAAGAGTTATGTTTTGGAAATGTTCCAAAAGTTATCTTTTCTAAACAGGATTAAGGGTTATGAAATCAATGTAAAATGTTTACAAAGATAACATAATGCACCCTAAATCAGAAAAGTAGTTCTTCATGGGTTTTCTCATGGAAACTAAGAGGTATTATTCCTACAATCGCGTAGAAAAAAAGTGTTTGTTGCTCGCGATAGTGTCTTTATAGAAAGAATGTCTTCCTACAAAGCCAAGTGGGAGTAAAGTTAGATCTCGATGAGACTCGAGACGAGCAACAAATGGATGTGGATAACACTACATCAGAGACGAAGGCATATGAAATCAGCTAATTTGATAAACCATGTGTCGAAGCAAGCTAATTCCACTAGTGAGGCTTCTATCGTCCCATTAGAATGAAAGGCTTCAAAGAGTTGAAGAGAATAATTCTATTGTCGCTCATACCTATCGTAGATGACTTGGGATAAAAACAAACAGTTTGTTGAAATTCTGAGAAAAGGTGGATCGGATTCTAAAATTTTCCTATTGGAATGGTTAGAATCCATGCCTACAAGCAAGCTTTGGATAAATGCCAACTCAGGAAATGACATAAAGCCATGAAATCCAGTATGGACTCCATGTTTGTAAAAATGTGTTAGTCCATAATAGTCTTACAAATAGGGTCAAACCTATTAGTTGGGTAAGCCTATTCGGATTATTCTAGTTATGGAGATCAAAAATCACCTTCATGAAATGTTCTTGATGGTGAGTATGTATATGATACATCCTAAGAGTTTTGAAATCCATAAATTCCTAGAAAGTTTTGCAAACTTCAGAAATTCATTTAATGGATTGAAGCAAGCATTAAGGAGTTGGAACATTCGTTTTGATTAGGCAATCAAACAGTTTGATTTCCTTAATAGAACGAAAAGGGAATCTTGTAGAGACAAGAAGTTTAGTGGGAGTAATTGGTCTTCTTAGTCTAGTATGTAGTTGACATACAGTTCATATGAAATGATATATCAATGCTTGAATAAGTCAAGCAGCGATTAGAAAGATTGTTCTATATGAGAGACTTAGGAGATGTTGAGTACATATTGGGAATTAAGATACATGAAGTGAATCTTGAAGGATGATTGGAATGAATCGAGAGACTTATGTTGATAAGGATATTGACAAGTTCATGAAGCAAGACTCTAAGAGAGGATGTCTTCCCATGTTTCATGGTATTACACTCAGTAAGACTCAATACCTTCAAAAGCTAAAAGAGTTGAGTTGTATGGATAGTGCATCTTATGATTTTGAAAAAGGATCCATTACATGTGCCATGAAATGTACAAAGCAAGATGTTGCATATGACTTGTACATATGTAGCAAGTTTCAAGCAAAATCAGAATAAGCATACGGAGAATTACCAAGAACAGATCCTTGAGTACTTGAGAAGCACTAAAAGGAATTCTTCTAGCTATTATGTTAAATGGTAATTTAAGCAAGTTGTCAAAAGGTTACACAAATGCAAGTTTTCCAAACAGGCAATATGATTCTAGATGGTGATCGATCTAAATGCATATTTGTGTTTGGATGGAAAAGGACAGTGAGCTTGAAGAGTTCAAAGCAGAGCACTGTTGCATACTCAATATTAGAATATGTGTATTAAACTATAGTCAGATAGTTACAGAGGAAGTTTGGATTAAAATTTCATGTGACTAACAGGTCACCTTTGCCCAAAAACAAAGGAGCCAGAGTCACATCACAAATCCAAACAAAAGGATACGAGATATCACCTCAATTATGAGATCATTGACCAGCGGAAGGTCGTGTTCTGCAAAGTTTTATTATTAGTGAGAAATCACTAAACCCCTTCCATAGACTAAGGTATGAGAGTCATATTAAAGTCTTAGGATTGAAGCAAGTTATATAATTTAAGTTTTATATGTTTTGAGAAAACATATTACATGAGAAATGCATCAATTTGCAGAATTATGTTTAAAATAGAAATTATTATTTCTCTTATTTAATTATGGTTTTGGAAATTAAATAAAATGTCCAAAATAATTATGAATTGATGGGCTCATCAGGTTGATGACTTGGTGAATTGAAATCCCACAGGTGAACAAAATTCATATATTATTTGAGTTCCTAGTTCGAGATCATTAAAGTGGACATAAATGATTTCAATAAATGAACTAGCATGTAAGATTGATTGGATAGCGCATTTTCATGGGCTATAGGGGCATGGTGATGCTCAGTCAATCACTTGGATATGCATGAATGATGCAGGATCGAACTATTGACCTACTTTGAAGTTCAAGTACAGAGCTTCCGTATATATTAGTGGATTCCTTTGACATGAGTGGAACATTGATTTCATTCAATGGATGTTGTGACTGTGGTACACTCAAACGTCTAGCCGTAACTGGAGATTATAAAGGGTGTTTCCCGGTTATTTCAGAAGTTGAGTGGGAGTCATGTTACCACAAGATTGGATAGAGTCTACCTATTAAATTAGGAAATGTGTCATGGCCGCTTGAAGAGGGAGAATTATAAAAATACGTGGCCGCGTTTAAATGCATTACACAGTAATCATTTGGTTTTGTAATTCTAACTCAGATTTCAAAAAATGATTTGTAGATTAATATAATCTCGACATGTGATGGAATCATATTATCAAATCGGCACATACATTGACTTAAGGAATTTGAATATTGCACCCTTGTCTCAGACAAGTGGGAGATTGAAGGAGTTATGTCTTCGTCGTGTGCAATTACTAGATATATAATTGGATCAAATTATGGAGATAATTAAGTTCGTACTTTTGGGCCGTCGTTTTTCCATAGCTAGAGGTACTAACGATCTTTGGACTAGTAAAATAACCCAAAGACCAATTGGACGGATCCTATAAGGTCACACAAAGGGGCTAGATCGAGCATTAGAGGACGAGGCCCATCATGGGCCTCATCACTCTAGGTGGTCGGCCATGTAGGGGAATTAAGAGGTTTTTGGGCTTCGTGCCCTAGTCTAATTATAATGAGATTATAATAGACTAGGTGCCTAGGTTTGCAAGAAGGTATGCAATTAACTGATCAGTGTGATTAAACCCTAATTAGCAAACACGAAACCCAACCCTCTCATAGTCCTCTCTCTCACACAGCTCTCTCCTCCTCCTTGGCGCCGGTGGTGTCTCGTGGTGGTGGTGGTTCGTGCGGTGGTCGGTTGTCCATAAAGGTGGTGATCGCGGTTTTCCTCAATCACTCGACCAATCTAGTATTAGTGGACGGATCGTTCGAATCTCGTGGACTAAGTAGAGGAGCAACGCTTGGGGCTCTATTCTCTCCCTGATTTTCCTGTCGAATAGCTTCGTGGAATTCACGCTTCAAAGGTATGATTATGTGTCTTATGTGTTATGCATGTGATTCTTGGGATTGGTACTTGATTGAATATGATTCATTTTTTTCCGCTGCGTAGTACCTATAAACTCCTACAGTTAAAACTTCTTGAGTTTTAACACAGTCCATCTTCTTTGGAGTATCCAATACTCGGATGCTAATGAAATCCTTCTTGGAGGAGCAATAGTAGTGTAGTGTTCGTCCCTTAGAAATCGCTCTATACATTGTTGGAGTAAGATGCAAATAAGAATCAATACGTTTTCGGTTACAATACCGATAACTTGACCCTATAAGATTTGGGTTTTTTTGTTTCTGAAGTTGACTTCAGATCAGAATTGTTATCAATAATGTTGGGCCTTTGATCTTGATCGATAGGGTTGAATTTACCCTCTTCCGAATTCAAAGATTTGCCAACAACATCCTTTTTCTTTTTGGTGACATCTTGTACATCAATACACCTACGAACACAACCATCTCCACCACCATATCCTTCCCTTCTTTTCCCTAACTTTCTCTTTTCTTCTTCCTTCCCAAAAGTAGCGTAATCTCTAAACATTTCATCCTCTCTTGTAACTGCTAGTGCCTCATTAACAAAATTCGGAGACCAACCCAATAAAGATGTCACCTCCTTGAGTTTGTATTGAAACTCTTTGTTATTGGGATCAATCCTAATCGCTTGTGCAAGATCCATGAAAGCTAAGTCGGGTTTATTGAGCTCTACAGCTGCCATCTCCCTTCTAAAATAAGCTTTCACATTAGTAGTATCAAAACACAAAACTGCAGAACACAACTTACCCACCTTATCAAAGTTTTTCTCTTTGACATAACAAGCACCTAAGTTAAGATTAAGAGACACAGCAAGGCTCGAAAAAACTGACTTATCTTCATCATTATAGACCATAACAAAAGATAAGATCTTGAGTGCAAGAGAGTATTTTGCAAGCGCTAATCCCATATTACCCTCTTTGTAAAAAGTGCTACCTTCATCTTTCAAACCCCTAACAAAGTTCAGAATACCAAAAGGATTCTCCAACTTCCCAACTAGCAGCTCTAAATTATGAGAAGAGATATCATCCTCTTCAACATGAGCAATGCACAAAATCCCCCTAAGTTCTTCAAAGTTATCCATAAAAAATTATGAATAATAACAACTAAACACACCAAAAGCAAATAGAAATTAAAAATCAACTATTACACAGAAAGCAAACATGCTTCTCCATAACATAAATAAGCCATACCAAAAGAAACCATTTTGACGAGAATACTTTGGCACAAGAACGAGAGACCCCCAACAGATGTGCCGCCGCCGCTGCACCTATACCACCTGGAGTATCCGTAGTTATATGCCAATTCACTAGTCCTTTGATGCGAGAATGGTCTGAGATTGTAAGACCATAAAATCCCCAAAAGTCGAAAACCAAACCTTAACCCTACAATAACTTTTCTAAAGGAAAATTCGAGCAATTGAGTTAGCTAAGCAAAGCACCGCTCCTAATTAGCCTCGAGGCTGTCAAGAATTGCTCGCCGACGACCATTATTGAGCTAACGTTGCTCTTGGCCAGAGCAGGGGAAAGCTTGAAGTAGTTCTCTGCTTTTAGAGAGAAGGGATAGCGTTTTTTAGAGAGAGTGAACAATGGTATTAATTTTGTTTATAATTGTTGAATTGAGGCTTCCTCCAATTCTAGAGGCCGGTTTGTTGATACTTCAATTTACAAAATATAAATGTATATGTTAAATTGATTATAGTCTATAATAGATATTACGGAGTATTATCTTTTTTTCTCACACTTATTAGGATGATAGTTATACATTTGCTTACGAAGTAGTAGTTAAGAGATCACGCTCAAAGTTTTGTAAATATAAAAATATAATGTAATATAAGCAAATAGTCCAAATTTTTTTACTGTAATAATTAACATTAAAAATGATTAGAGATGTTAGTAGTATAATTATAAAATATATATTAATTAATCTAGTTTACTTGAGCCTCTTTTTTTTACTTTGTGAAAAAAAAGAAGGAATCTGATAATGAGGATTGAACTCGGTGTCACGGGGCATGAAAGTTAAAATCTAAAGGCCAAACACCGCTATGCCGTACGCTATACTTCCATTTACTTGTGAAGTTTTTAGTTTATATCCAAAATCTTGTAAGGGCCAAGAGTAAGTTTCTAATCCACCAGTCCCCTTGGCTTCGCCCTTGACCATCACTAATTACCTCCTCTCTCCCTCCACCATCCTCCTCCTCATACTCATCCACCATCGCAACCGTTGTAAAATACTCCTTTATCCTCCCCTTTCTACTCTGCCCCACCACCACCACCACCATGTCTACCACCGTACCTAGAATTTCTCGCCGGAAGAGGAGTATTATACACATGATGATAAGGAGAAGCGGACCTTCCAAGAATGTGAAAAAGAAATTAAATGATGTACTTCAATATTATTGACATAGACTAGGGCGTGCTACTCGTGCATTGAGCACAAAATAATGCAGTGTTGCTAGTGTGTGAGATTGGAAATGTGATTTCTTTTGGCTAATTTCTAAGGTTTTTTAGGTAGTTATAAATAAATGTAGATTAATTAATAAACATATCTGTTGATGAATTAAATTGCATTAAAAATTATTGATTTTACATGTCTTTTTTGAAAGCTTTAAGTGTATAATTTATTTATTAGGTTATTAATTAAGTTTTTTTTTTGAATAATTGAGGGTTTAAAAAGTAACTTGTAAAAAAAATCTTATTTTATATTACTAACTCATTTAGAATGCTTGTACATGTCTTCTTCAAGCATGAAAAAAAATATACTCTATGGCAGGCTGCAGTGTTTTTTTTTTTTTTTTTTGATAAAAACAACTATTTTGCTCATGAAGTCATAATGCATATAGAAAGTTTATTGGTATGACATCCAGGTAAAAGGAATGATTCAAGTAATCATTTTTGATGAATGGTCAATATTGAAGGCAAAGAGCTTTGTGTAGATACGAGCCACTAATGGACAAATTTAAAGTCATACAGGGCATAATCTTGTAGAATTTACACTATAGTAGCAACACCACCAAAGCTTTTTTCACCTTTAACACATGTATAGAACTCGTAAGTCATAACAAACACAACAATTAAACATTTAAGCAATCAATCCACATAACTAACATCTCAAAACTGATTTACTATGAAAAAAAATATATGAGAAAATCGAAATGAAATTTATTTTCAGAACATTTGAACCAAATACCTTAACCCCTAAAGGATAAAACAAATCACAATTAAAGAAGTAATAAAAAAAACCCTAAGAATTATACAGCCTGGTGTACCCAAAACCGTCTTGATAGCTTCAATTCAAGATGCTTGTAAACAAATCACAAGGATGAGGCAAGTGTTTTCGGCTTACAAATCTCTCGGGTCCTAAAGCCACGTACTGCCTACATCCCTATGAAGTTTGTCTATCATCCTGAATATAGTGAAAAAGAGAGCTTTTAAATATCTCGGGTTCTAAAGCCACTTACCTTTTGCCTTATTCAGAGCATCTTGCACAATTGACAAGTGAACGTGCAACTCTGATGGCTTAAAATTACGCGGCAGTGGCTTCTGAATGAACAAAAACAAATATTTGCATCAAAGTATTACAGTCCAACAAATCCCATTCAATTCCCACTAAAGAATATTGCATTCCGGGCAATCCTATTTAATTGCCATAAAAGAATACCGCATTCCTACTAATCACATTCGATTTCAAGTAGTTGAAACTACTATTCTCACAATTTACCTACCTAAAAATCATCAAATTAACTTGCAAATACACCTACATATTCAACAAAGAAAATATTATCTTAAAACTTACAATTCAACAAATCAAATTCGATATCCATCACAAAATTATCACTTACTACAATTTTTATTATACAGATGAGTTCAGCATCTAAGTATGCCCTACACTAATAAAACAACACCAAAAACTTTAATTGAAAATGAGATATCAAGGAATCAATTAAAACATACTTCTGGTGTCGAAACTCAGGTGGTGGATCAAGTAATGGACAATTTTGAATCAAAAGCGGTCTGCATAATTCTTAACAGGAGAAGGTAAATCAACATCTGCTTTAAGTTATCTTTCCATGACTAATTTAATTTGGTAAGTTTAGGTGTAGTTGTTCCAGACTTGCTGTATGGAGTATTAGATCTGCTTCGAATAAAAACATAGAAATATATAGACAACCATAAAATAAATTGTAATAAAACATCAGTATAAACACTGGAAAATGTATTGCAATAAAAAATAAAATTAAAAATAAAAAGTGTAATCAAACATGGGTATAGTCAATAATGATATTTCTAAAACACAGATTTGGTGGAAGAGACACATCGAATCTCTTTTCCCAAAAGAAAACAAAAGTAATCATTGTCATATCTTAGACCCATAAAATAGCAACTTAATCAATATTGCCTCACCTCCTCCACCATACTTCTTTTGCCCCTTCTCCCAATAAACAATTCACTAATATGTTATAACCCACTATTATAAACAAAACAAAAGGCTAAAGTGAAATTCGAGATATGAAGGTTTGAGTTGTCCACTGTTCTTATAACATATTCTTTAGAATTCAATTGGAAACCAAAATTCACTTTATGAGGAATGCTTGTTTGCATAAAATGTAGCATACTAAGTGAAATGCATGATGACATATAGGACCAAATTTTAATCTGGATAATGGTACACAATGATATATCATGGTTCAAGGTGAAAAATAACCGGTGGATTTGCAAACAACTGGCCAAAAAAACCAGTTGAAAACTCCTTAATGTTCCAAGGATTATAGGACTCAAACTTGAATTATACCCAAAACCTCGTAGGCTCGTAGCATACTTTACATAGACTGAAACTAGCCAACTCAAAAATCAGGGCAACTAATATTGATTTGATTATCATGATAAGCTAATTTAAAAGAGACTTAAAGAACCTAAACCAACCTGATTATGAGTTAAATGAATCATCACTCAATTATGAGTTATGACCTTAGTTGAACATGATACAAACAACCAATTTTCTGCCTCTATACATAATAATAACAAGCAATTTATTAAGTGATCTAACTTTCTGTACACTAAAAACTCTCCCTCTTCGATTATCATTAGGCTTTGAATCCTTTGATATAAGATTGGTAATTCCAAGTTTCTCTTCTTGAGAAACTTGGAGCGTTTCTCAAGGGGAAATTTCGTCCACTTTTCCTTGCATTTAAGGGTATAATTGACTTTTTGTCTTGGGTGCATACTTTTTAGTAAAAACTTCCGATAACTCTTGTATTTGGAAAAATTGACGGACCGTCAAGTGAATATTTACCCGTGTACAGTAACCTATTCCAATTATCCTCCAAGTTATTTACCCTTCTAGTTTTTTACCCCGATATTTGGAATTACCTTCTCTTATGCAGACATCCATCTTTGTCGTCTGGAATTGAACGCAAAAAGGGTGCCTGCGGCGGTGGTGGTGTGTTTGCTGTTGCCGGTGTCGGAATTTGTGCACAAGTCGGCAAAAGGACGCAGATAGGCATTGTGGCGAAAGGTGAAATCCGATACCAGGGTGTTCTCTGCGCGGTGGTATCTATTAATTTGGTGAGGTTGTTGGAATAAAGAAAGGGAATTCAAGATGTTACTTCCCATTCTTAATTTCAATTGAATAATTCTCACATAACACCTTATTTAAGTAGAAGTTTAAGGTGATAAATTACCGGCGTTATACTCTTGTGTAACTCTTATAACCCTCCCCTTTTATGAGAATGTTAAAGTTGATTAATTACCACCATCAATTTGATTATTCATCTCCCTTAACGTTTTGTGGGATTCTTCTTCTATGTTTTTCTATAAATAGAAGAAGTCTTTATTATGTTACACGTACTTAAAAAATACATATCAAACACAAGCTAAACACATACTCTATATTGGGCATAAGTTACTTGGCTCCAACCTTCCACCCAAAAGTGCCTTTGAGTGGAAGTGGTGTGTTAACCTTAGGGAACGTGTCGACAAATACAATTGAGCACCCCGGTTGCGTCGGAATTTCGTTTTCAAGTTAGTGAATCTGCTTCACGACACACCGTACTCTTCCTACTTTTGTGAGATTAGTTTTTCGGTC